CATAGTCCAAACCATCTACAGGGCATTACAGACTTGTCATTGCCTTCACTCTTCCTCCAGCCATTTTCAGGCTAGTTGTCTCCACCAGATAAAGACAGCCTAGACCATCTATATATGGGCCATGAAGGCTGCTCTTCCACAGAGTCTCTGTAATAAGTCTCCTATTGAGCAAACTTGTCTGCGTATGGATGTCAATAACAAACCCACTGAGAGGATGTTTTGACTTCCCATCAGGTCATCAGCGAACAGTCTCACTGAGGAGTTGCTGTGACTCCCCTATTCCATACCATTCCCCATGAGATGACCATCACAAACAACTCCCCTTTCCCCCTAAGAGTGTTGCTAGGCCATATTAGATGTGGACTACAAGGTTATGCCTTGGTGGTGCCCTTCCATCATTTTTTGAGTTTCAGACTTGCAACTGTATTATGCAGTATTTGTGCCTGTTAAGACTATAATGATACTATATCATTTTCGCTCCCTTAACATGTGCTTCTGGTTAATAGAAAACATCTTTGGCAAATGCTTTCGCAATGGATAGTCTTCAATAATTCCAAGAATTTCACCTCTGGTTATTGAATACTAATGCCCCCAAATGTCCCAATTAATCATTATGATATGATAGTAACCAACAAAATTCTAGCTTACAACATCAATTTAATTCAAGCCTTTGTTACTAGCCAACCAAACATAATAATAATGTATTAGTATATAGGTCCCCACACCTAATAAAATGGTTGTTGTATTGCTAGTACCTGGCCCATGCCTGGCTTAACCAAAAGCTATTTACTGCGTTGCAATGATTGTGTAATATGCTTAAATTAATTAGCATATATAATAAATAGTAAGTGTTGACAACGAGAAAACATTAGTCAACAAAACCATTGAACAGGATCTGATAGTTGGCATTTGTCTAATAATATTAATGACATATGCCATTTTAATTTGGGTGTGGCAGAAAGACTTGTGCTTTAATGCCTTCCTTTTTTCACAAATCTTTTCTTTTTCTGCCTTATGCATTTATGCTGACAACCACCATTTCCCCCGCCTTTAGTTTCCCTAGACACTTACATATCAAACAGTCATATTAATATATTTTAATAAGTAGCATCTTTGATTGTGAGAATCCTGAGTGTTGACACACCCAGGCCTTTCACAGATTATGTATAAGATATAGCATTACCCATCAGGTACACATACAAACTGTCTTCCAAACCACACAAAACTTGCAAACAATTTGTGGGCATTGTCAAAGAAATCTTCAAATGTCGCGTCATGCAATCCCATTCGAAAATGGTTTACTTTCTCACAGATGTTTGGTTATATTTGTCTAGGTGCGATTGAAAGCGCCAAATCTCTACAATTACTAGTTGATTACAACCGTCAGATGCGGTCAAAATAATCAACCAATAAAGGGAGGACATTATTAAATGTAATGCCCCCAACAACTCGATTAAACGCCTTCTATACCTTTGTGTCAATTGCTGCTCTTAGCCATCCATTATAGATGTTGTCACCCACTCACCACGATGAGGTAGCAGCACATTGAGCGGGAATAGGCGATCAAGACTCTGACTGTGCGCGCTCGTCATACTGAGGACGACATATCAAACCAACATATCAAGCAAACAAGCGTTTACTTGCCGATATTTACAGAGTACATATTGCCAAGGTGCGATTGAAATCTCTTCGGCTCCAATCATGTCAATGACAACTTGCAAAGTTTGATATACGCGAAACGTGTTTATTATTTTTAAGATGTCTCCCAACTTATATGCGTGAGTGCTTAGTCTTGTCATTATACTAGTTAAAGTGTATGTGCGCGCTTAAATTTACACTTTATATGTGCACTTATTACCGCTTTTTTATTCCACTTAAATGTGTCTTTGATATCATTTATATATGTGCGCACTTAATATTCCATGCCTCATACATGTGCGCTTTAAGGCTATTATGCCCCTTGAATAATATATCTCTTGATGTTAGAAGATGTCGTTTTAATTTGCTATTAAGCCACCTCACAAT